ATACACCTAACCTATGTGGGCGCCGATAAGCCTGCAAACCGAGGGGTTTCGAGTGGGAGGCATGGAGAAATTGGGATTTTATTAGTGCATAATAATACTGTATGTTGGAGACTAGCTAGATACAACTGTTACTGCATTTCTGGGCTGATCAATCCTGCTGTATCCAGGTGAGGAGTAATGTTAGTCTATGTAGAGCGAGCGTACAAGTAGTTTGCAGCAGAGAAATTTAGTACACACAGCAAAAGTTAGGAGATGTAAAATAAAGATAAGGCATACATCAGGTGTTGTCGTGGACGGTGGAACCCTTTGCAAGGAGGCAGGATTATGCCTGCTTCGCTTCTCCTCCAGGTCATCAAAACATATACACGCTTCCACCAAAAGTGGAGCAAAAACCTGAAGAAAAATCAACAAAACTCTTCAGGGTAACTGATGAGATGGCTACTGTAAAATGAAATTGCTTACTTTTGATATGCACTATACAAGACACAAGCCGTTTTCTAATTAAAATTTGCTGTTGGTAGTTCACAGTATATGGAAAATGTTAATGCGTTATCTATCATCCTTGATGTTCACGTTGGCAGCTGCTGCACTTACCCGTTCTTTGGATTGATCAGCCTATCTTGTGTTTGTTTTCACATGTGATAGATAGATTAATTAGTTTTTTGTTGTTGCAAAACAGTTGGATCATTGTTGTATTTGATATTGAGGCTATCTCATCTTTTTTGAGTCAGGTACATCCAACAGAAAACGACCCAAATGATCCATCACAGTCAAATCGGTTCAATGCAGTTATTGAGAAAATCGAGCGCCTTTACATGGTAAGGCACATGTTGTTATCTCAAGAGAGGAGATGCATTTTTTTTACTTAATACACCATGTGCATAACGTCTTCCCATGTCCTCATACTGCACTTTGGCAGGGCAAACATAGTAGCGATGAAGAAGATTTGGGTGATGTGCCTGATGATGATCAGTATGACACCGAAGATTCTTTCATTGATGACGCTGAATTGGTTAGTTTTTTCATTGCTTCAGAGTACTTTCTTACCTGGATGCTAGCAATTACCTGGATGATGCTGAATTGGTTATTAAACATAAAGACTATATAGAACCTTAGGGTAAGCTCCGGCGTTGGGTTTTTACGGTTTGTTCGGTCCGGTCTCTTCGGTCTTCCAGAAATTTGGTCTTCCCAAACTGATGACCGAAGTTACTTCGGTTTTCCTCTATTCAGTCTTCGGTCTATACCATCTAGAATCCGGTCCTGACCAAATAGACCGAATTTGTAAATTGATCCATTGATTAAACTCTTCAGCATACACATAGAAATAGGACGGGAGAACGGGCGTGCTTGTATTGCAAGATGGGCGGCGGAGGCGGGATGCGGCGAGTAGCAGCAGATGTTGGAGGATGGGAGGTGGAGCAACGGACATTGGAGAAGATCCGGCGACCAGGCGTGAAGGTGGAGTACCAGATGTTGGAGGACGAGAGAAGCGGACGGGGGTGGAGGTGGAGCACTGGACAGAGGTGGAAATAGAAGGACCGAGGATGGGAGGTGGCTCGGTGGGTGGCGGCGGCGCGACGCGTGGGGGTCAACAATGCGGGCTAGCATCTAGGTTTGGGAGTTAGGAGAGAGGATGAGATGAGATGGGGACGGCCGGTCATGGACTCGCGAGCCAGGACGCAAGGCAAGTGGGTTACTTGGCCTTGAGGCCGTAACAAATGGGCTTGATAGGTAATGGGCTGGCGGTTGGTGTGGAGGACCTAGTAGTTCGGTCACTTCGGGTTATTCAGTTAGCACAACAACACGACCGATTCAACCGAAGCTACTTCGGTCTTCTTATTCTGACAGACCGAATTTAATTTGATCTTTTGTTGTTCGGTATTTATGGCTTCGGTTTCGGTCTTGGTCTTTACGGGTTCGGTCTTTGATTTTTGTGCCCAGGCTGACCTTAGGGATAAGCACTTCACCTGACCTTTTTAACCAGTATTGAGAATGATGCGCTCATTTCTTATCTTTCTTTCTTATTGAAAGAACAGTCAAATCCTAGTGTACATAGTACAATAGTATACTGCCTGGAAGGATTTTGCGAAAAACTTATTCAGCGGTGCATGACAATAGCTCAAAGTTTTGTTAGAATACACTGATGTCAGTTTCTGTGCGGACAAAATGATACATTACATGTTTCCTGCTCCCATGTTAGACAGCGAGTTCAATTTTATTGCTGTATGGTCAGAATTTTTGAAGATGTCGGGCTAATAGCAGCCATTGTGATTGCTTATTACTTGCATTTGTAGGATGAGTACTTTGAAGTTGACAATTTGAAAACCAAGCACACTGGATTTTTTGTGAACAAAGGGAAATTGGAACAAAGGTAATTTTTCTGATACTTATTTGATTTGCAACTATTGAGCTGCACAATTTATGCTCCAATCAGCCCACAAAATACTTATATAAGGCATTGTGCTGGGTCTTACCTGTGCTAATTCTTCATAGCTGTATCATGGTGGGTGATATAATAACTGCTAAGCAGCAATTCGAGCTTACTGCGTACATGCTTTATACATGTGCCGTTATAGGGCATAAATAATGACATTACTTCAGCTTTGTTTTGCAGTGAGTATGGCTCAGTACAAAATGTTGTACCAGATGGCACAGTACAAAATGTTGTACCAAAGAAACGGAGAAGAAGAGACTCTTCAAATTCTTACATCGAAAATAGCAAGGAGCTTGCACCAGGCAGCATGCCTGTAAAAGCCCCTAAAAGAAATGCTGAAATAGGAAAAAACATAGCAAGTAGCGACTTAAGTTCTTACAGCGAATATCACTCTGAAGGCAACAAACCGTTGACGAATAAAAGTAATTCCCCTGGAAGAATGCAGAAAGGGAATGCCAGTGAGAATGCAACTGGTGCTGAGTACGCATCACATCCGAAGATATCAAGTAAGGGTGTTTCGTTACCTTCTTCAGAAATAAAGGACTTGAACAAGCATAAAACTGCAGTGCCGCAGGCTGTTGATTTTGCTCGTAAGTCAACAACTAATGCAACAAACCCTTATCCAGCATACTTGGAGAAGGATGCTGCAGTGCAACTTGATCTCCAATTGAAAAAATCCTCTAATGTGGCGAAGCCAGATTTGCCAAAGAAAATGCGCTCCAAAGAAAAATATGGTGTCAATCAGTTTCCTGGCTTGACTACAACAGACAACGTATATTCGACACAAACAACGGTAAGAATCAGAGGAACTGGTACTGTGAGTATGGTGGATTCAGCTATCTGTATGCACTAGTTTTGTTTTATGATATTCTGTGCTACCTTTTCAGCACTTGGCTGCAAACAGGCGCATAGAAGGTTCAGGTATTAAGGCCAAGGGTACCAGACTCGAGCGAGCTATTCGTGACCTTGAAAATATCGTTGGTGAATGTGCGTACCTTGTATACAAATTCTTATATTCAATTGTTTACTTTGAAGCACTTCTGGAAGTAACTTTAGTGTTTGCTACTTGATATTCCTCCTCACAGACAAACCACATACTCTTGATGTTCCCTACATTGATCCAAATTGTCAAGGAGCGGTGAAAAGAAGACTGCCTCAAGAAATAAAACAAAAACTTGCTAAGGTCGCAAGGTTATCGGTATGTTCTGCTACACCATATTTTACGTCAGAGTTAAATGCTTCTGGTTAGTCCCTCCTGTGTTGCTACTTTGGCTTTAGATAAAATTCTGGACTTCAGGTGGGGTGTTCCCCCTGCTGCTGTGAGTTTGGAAAAAAAAACTCACAGCTGACACTGTTCCTAACCTGCATAGAACATTGGTTAGACTTTAGTACTATTTTATTGATGTTTAAATTACTTTCTGAAAAATTATGGGACCTTGTCTTGGTTCTGGAGTACAAAACAACTGCTTAACACAGTAACCCATCAAGGCATACATAGTGGTTTTCTTTGAGAAAACGCAAATGGCCTTTGCGTTTCATTGCATTGGAAAGAGAGGGAATTTATATCCTCCTAGGAGGCAGGTTTACACAGCCGTCAGGGGCTCAGTGGACATCCCAGGATGATGGCAAAACGACCCTGAGCCCTTGAGCCCCGGCCTTTGCCCAACATCAGGCCTTGTCCTTGATCCTGTCGACAAGCTCATTGAGCGATGGGCTCACATGGTCAAAAACGCACGCGTTCCTATGCTTCCAGATCATCCACGGCACCAAAAGCGCCACGGATTTCAGCGCCTTGCGGAGCGCTGGCGGTGTGGATTCCTTCGCGCGCAGCCACCAGTCCATGAGCGAGTCGTCGTGCTCGGGCGCCGGCGCCAGCAAGCGCAGCCAAGATAGGACCTCATGCCATGTCTGCCTAGTGAATGGGCACGTGAGCATCAAGTGCCTGATCGTCTCCGGTTCTTGGTCGCACGGAAGGCACCGCGGTGGTGCTGCAGGCCACGACGTGCTAGTCGCTCCGCGGTCCAGCAGCGATCTTGACCTGCCAGCCAATGGAAAAGTTTCACTTTTGGCAGTGCCCACCTCCTCCATATGAGCTTCCAGGAGTGGCAGCCCTTCGCTCCCTGGAAGGTTGCCCGGTAGCAAGACTGAGCGGTGTATACGCCGTTGGACATAGTGGTTTTCTTGTTCTGCTAAAACTATAGTTTTCTTCTCTTATATCTGTGCTGCTAGATTTCATAAAATCAGTAGCCTATATTTACTACGGCAATAAAGTGAGGTACCTCACAGCCACAACACCACCTCGGCGAGTGCTGAGGTGACACTGTACACCCATAAAGAATGTAGCAAAAGCAGTGCTGCCATGCATCGACATCAACTATATATAGAAAGATGACAGTACACAATGCATCATGAAGCATCAAACATGAGATTCACGCATGTAACAGTAATCTGGCAGGAGCATTCAGCTTCAGCCACGAACCATCAAGCAAGAGATTCATGCATGTAACAGTAATCTGGCAAGAAACACACACCACTCAGCCAGGTCGATGAGAGGGAGGAGGGAGAGTGAAGCTAACCTGCTGCAATGGCCGGCTAACAATAGGAAGAGGGAGGGCTTGAGGTGGAGGGTAGCCTGACGGTAGTCACAGCTGACGCTGCCACCAGATCCAGAACGGATGGGAACAGGGATGGTGGCGGCAGGCTGGGATGCCTCGAGAGAGTTGCAAGCACCGACACAAAACAGATGGGGAGGAGGATTCCTCATGTTCAGAACCTCTGTCTTCAATAATTATATCTGTAGTTATCCAAAATGCAAACTGTAATCCTTAACGTAGTTCCTTGGTAGTTTTGACATAAAATCTGCAGTTTTGAGTTTACTCTTTGAGATTAGAGAGATGTAGGCATATACACCTTGAATTCCTGTGCTGCTGCTTTTCACCGTGTGAATGTAGAAGCTTGAAAAGTACAGCCTGTGCTTGTTGTTGTGTGTTTCAGTAAAAGCACTCGGTTATAGTGGCAGTTTTAACTTACTGTGCAGCTCACAACAGTGAATTCTTGATAAATGCAGGCAAATCAGGGTAAAATCTCAGAAGATGAATTGATCAATCGCCTCATGGGCATAGTGGGGCACCTTGTGCAGCGTAGGACACTGAAGGTGAGTAGAGGCAGCGATTAAAGTATGTGCATTGTTGTATTGATTTAGCGAATTTTTAATTCTTTTAGTACGTGTTCAAGCATGGCATCATGATCCTTTTTTTTGTGAGTTTCAGATTCCCAAAAAATGTTAATTTTGTAATATTCTTACTGTCCATCGTCTTGATCTTGAATCCGGAGGAATTTAGAGGAATTTGTGATGAGTAGGTCTTCTATTTGTTATAGTTATAGTTCACTTGCAACTTTGAATGAATTCTAGCACGGTTACTATTAGGAGAAAGCCATTTTTTAGTTCCAGTTTTGTATTCACCTACTGTTAGGGTCTTAGGCATGCTGCAGACATGAATATGATTTTTTTGGTACTTGTGGATGAATTTAATAACATTTTGGATGGCTATTGGCATGCTGATATATTTTTATAAGAACACATTTTTTTGGCGTCGTTATGTGATTATGCATTATCATATAATAGTTTACATTTTTCAATTCAAGTCATGTGGATGAACTAAGCAGCAAGTCAAGCTTACTGGATTTGATCTTTTGATCTGTACAATAATCATGCTACTGACAGTCGACTAAAATTGCTTTCATGTAACTGAACAAGCAGACTCCATGATAAAAGGAACTATATTTTTATCCACATGTCTTCTTTTGATTGGCTAGGAAACAGTGGAGAGACTGCATTATATAAATATAAATTGTGCTTAGTGAAGATAGTTTATTTAAGGAAGGATGCGCAAGAGAGCAAATCTAATTAATCGTCTCTAGTAGCCAGATAAATACTTATGGTTCCCTTTCCCTCAATGCACTATGGGTGTGAGTTCCTTGCTTCGAGATTCTTTATCATTCAACTTTACTTGCAATCTGACATTCCCTTTTCACTGCTTCTAATATCTTGCATATCATGAGTAGTAAAATTCAGTGTATCCAGGATCTCTTGGTTATTTAACGAGTTCTAATAAAGGACTCAAAAAATGAAATGAGAAATATGCTCGTAGATTGAACATCCAAGTTGGTTGATGCGAAGAATTGCAGTCCTCATTGACCACCTGGACCTTTGAGTGCAACATACTTCACCGAACTCTCACCTTGGGAAGTTGTCATGCAAAAAAGATAGGGGGCTCTAATAGTAGATCATGATCACAGACTCAAGAGTGCTCCAGCTGGTTTTTTCAGTCAGCACCTTGTGTTTGGATTTTGCAAAGAGACCGCCTTTCCAAGATTGCCCTACCAAATATTTGGCTAGCCAAAATTTTGTTCAGGCTTTTGCTAGCCCGGGGTTGCCCAGCATTGCCATGAAAAACAAACTAGAGTGGGCAAAGAGGCATTGGCATGCCAAAACATTGGTAAACAAACACCAAAAGTTTGGTGACCGTCAAAAAATTGGTAGGGCAATCTTGGAATTGGTCTTCCACTTCTTCAATTTCTGCACCTCTCATTGCTAAAGAGAGAACAAGCAACATAGACAGCAGAAAATAGCGGCGGTATAACAATATTGACCATGCATGTCACGGTATAACAATATTCTGAGTCTTGAGTATCTGACTGTGTTATTGCGTCATTTTTTCAGTTATGGCCTTTATATTGCTTGCATCATGTCTTGCATTGCTTTGAATTGTATATTGTACCGTAGTTTCACTAATTGTTGGTATCTTCAGAGAAACATGAAAGAAATGGTCGAATCGGGTATGTGCGCTAAACAAGAGAAGGCTGACAAGTTCCAGCAAGTGAAAACTGAGATCTATGAAATGGTCAAAGCACGTCTAGACACCAAGCCCAAGGTAAGACTGCAATGCTGAGTAGGATGTGCAGGATTCACTTCATTTGGGTTCTTGCATTTTATTTTAGCTTTTGATTTCCTCAATGCATCAGAAGTTTAATTTAGAAAATTTTGCCTCCATTTGCTTTTAGGTTACTGAACAAAGGGATGATTCAGCACATGATTTTCAAGGGGGTGTCAGTATTGATGATAAAACAGCCTTAAAAGGCAAATTTGTCCTGGATGCTCCACTGGAGGACAGGATCTGTGATCTATATGATCTTTATGTTGAGGTATAGACATGCAGACGTGTATCTCCTTCAATGATCATATTTCAAAGCTAGTGGCCAGTTTTCTCTCTACAGAAATGCTGGAAGCTTCGGAAGGGATATTTTTCTGTTTAGTTTTAGGTTTTATCTATTGTACATGTGTGTATTTTGTGAAGCTAGTGGCCAGTTTTCTCTCTACAGAAATGCTGGAAGCTTCGGAAGGGATATTTTTCTGTTTAGTTTTAGGTTTTATCTATTGTACATGTGTGTATTTTGTGAAGAGATAAAATCTTTGCCCATCCTGTCAGGAGCTTAGTACAGTTATTTCGAAATAAGAGTGGCTTCGAAAGGCTACTTGCCTTTAGCCTTATTTAATTTGATCTATACGTATTTAGTATCACTTCGAAGCCTTGAGTTCCATATAACTTATGATTATGCTTAATTATTGAAAATCGCATGCTTTTCAGGGTATGGATGAAGACAAGGGCCCTCAGAGTCGTAAGTTATATGTAGAGGTATGGCCTGCCAATTTACATGTTTCTTTTTCTGTTCCTCCTTTCTGTTTTGCAGCTATTTAGGATTCTACCCTCTCCGTCCCATAATATAAGAACATTTTTCAAGCTAACAAGCTTGAAAAATGTTCTTATATTATGGGATGGAGGGATCCCTTGTTAGCTTGAAAAATGTTCTTATATTATGGGACGGAGGGATCCCTTTTTTTAGGAACATCTGTTGAAAGAACCTACTCCCTCCGTTCGGAAATAAGTGTCGTGGTTTTAGTTCAAATTTGAACTAAAACCACGACACTTATTTCCTATCGGAGTACTACATGTAATATGCAAACATGTTTTCGACGGAGTAATGGTCCTTAAAGACTTCTTTTTCATTCTGGCATGGTACTTACAATCACACAGGAAGATCTTGGCGGTGAACTTAAATGTGGTTCCTTCGTAATACACCCTTTTGGTTATCATAATCCGAATATCCGATTGACTACGATGGTGTCTCTAAGCTAACCAATATATGCCTTTTGGCTTGCTCCATTATTTTACATTTAGTCAAGATTTTTTTAGCGAGGTAATCCAAAGTCAAACAAATGCCTGTGTACCAGCTAAAGATTAGTGTGTCTCTAAGCTAGCCAATACATAATTCCTTTCAGCTCACTCCGTTATTTTGTATGTAGTCGAGGAAACTTCTAGCAAGGTAATCCAAAGTCAAAGAAATGCCTTTGTGCACGAGCTAAAGATTATGCCGAGAGATTTATACTCTGTTAATTGTGTTTCATGGATCATGCATTTTGCACCGATTTAGTTATTTCATAAGCTTCTGAGTAACATATTAGTTTGAGATACACCAGCTCATGTGCTTTTATACTAGTTCATGACGTGCTCGCATTATCTTTCTGCACCAGCTTGCTGACTTGTGGCCACAAGGTTACATGGATAAAGTTGAAATTCGAAACGCCATTTCAAGATCGAAGGAGCGAAGAAATTTATTGTACCGGCAGCGCAAGGTGAATGTCTTTTCAGCTTAACATGCCTAGTTAAAAATCTCCTTGGAAAGAAAAAAAAAGCAAGTACACAACTCGGTGGCATCCATTTCTGCATACCCTGCCCAATATGAAACGTATGCACAATACTTGGTCGGAACAAAATGTCACTCACTGACTAACTAGATGTTGCATGTTAAATAAAAATCAGGTTCGCAACGAGGAGAGAATGAAGAGGAGAAGGATAGCTGCTGCCGCCAAGTCACGAGATGGCAACCCAATGGTGGCTCAGTACGCTACAGCACAGCAAGTTATGCAACCGCCCGTGAAAGATGCTAGTCCATCGATGACAAGCACGCACACCTTGTATCCTGTCGTTAACTATGGACATAGCCAGGTCTGCAGAAACGCTGGCAGAGTTGGTGAAGTGACGGTGGGTGCAGTATCTGACGGCAACCGTAGTTCTTCTGCGGACATCAAGAGGAGAAAACTAGGTTCTGACGCCGCCGTGGATCTGCAACTGCAAGCTAACCCACTGAAGGCTCCCCCACGGTATGTCAGCGAGAAGCAGAAGCCTGCGAAGCGTGCGGATGATGTAAAGGTCGGCAGTAGCAGTAGCCTTCCTCAGACGGTGCTTGCCGTTGCAGGCTATGACCCCCAGCGGCCCGGCTACAGCTAACAAAATCATTTTGGTGGTGCTCCATTGGGGAACAGAAGAATAAATCATGGCCAAAGGTTGGCTTGTAACAAAGATAGGTAGGTAGATGTTCGATGTGCTCGCTGCCAATTGACTTCTGAGCAAATTATGTTTAAACTCTTAACGCGTCATCTTGACTGAGAAGGGTATTTTCTGGCCCATTTGTAGTTTGGAAAGATGAATAATTTACATTGTTTAGTCTGTTTCGTTTGTCATTGTTTCCGCTCGATGTAATCATTCTGTTGTTGGTTCTCTCTCACCAACATCTGCATCTGAGCTCCATTTTGAGTGCCGGAATTTATCATATGACCCTGTTTATCAGAAATCCATGTCTTATGTTTTGGAAAATATTATGAAAAACATACAGGCCGTAGGTAGAAACTTGTCCACATGAGTTTGGTAATGAAAGCAAGTCACTTTACACATCATGGTAGTAGTTAACAATGTTGACAAACCAAAATTCTACATGTGTTATTATGTTTTGATAATAATATAAAACAAAGTGCCTCAAAAACCAAATAGGCCTAATATAAAATTACCCGTTCATTGGACCTGATACGTGCCAGAATTAGACCACTGAACTACCACTGCCATTGTCATACCACTGGTGCTACAATATAGTAGGAGTATGTGCCATGACATCACAAAAATTTCTACCCAATCCAAAGGCTTAAGCTAACCTGAGTACTCACACTGCAGAGACATTCATTCTTCTACCTGCCCTAACATCACTAATTACTATTCACAAATCACAATCAACGCCACCAGCCATGAGCCAGGCAGGCTAGAACATATAATGAGTAGATCCTTTTTTTGAGAATCGGTAATGAGTTTTTTTTAGCAAAGATAGCTAGGCTTTTATTCGTTGTGGAGTGTGATTACATTCGTGTCGAATGGAGCGCCCAGCCAAATATGCCTACCTAGCTAGCTTATGTGCTTCGAAATTAGAAGCTCTAGATTCAAATGTAAAATTACAAGAAATAAATCCTTTTGAAGTTTCTTTCAGTTCTCTGATAATACCAACGTAGTTGCCTCCCCCGCCCTCCTGGATACTACTCCCTCCGTTTCTAAATATTTGTCTTTTTAGAGATTTCAAATGGACTACCACATACGGATGTATATAGATATATTTTAGAGTGTAGGTTCATTCATTTTGCTTTGTATGTAGTCACTTGTTGAAATCTCTAGAAAGACAAATATTTAGGAACGGAGGGAGTATGATTTATGACTTGTTTGCAATCAGATGCCACAAGCAAGTGTTGCATCCCCAAATCTTGTGCAAGTGATAGCGCCTCCCTACACGCCACTGCTTCCACCGTAGCAGGATCAAGCATCCCGTGGATCACAAGGATAGACGAGCCCAGATAGTTTCCATCATGATCACGACAAATGGCCGCTCCTGCATCCACGTCATGATCGATGGAAATACCCACATCAACATTTATTTTGATAGTTCCTTCTGGAGGTGGCTCCCATCTAACTTGCACATTTGACGTTGTTATTCTTCCATCATGGAAAAGAGGCAACTCCGAGCTGATGGTTCCGTCGTAGCGAGCATATGTTCCAACAAGCCATCATCATTCATCAACCAACGCCCCGGCTTGGAGGATCCGGCTTGCGTACGCTGTTGAGAGGGCATCGGCGTCTCAGCCTATATTAGCTTGTCACTCGGAAAGCGAACAAGGTGAGGGCGAATCAGCAGGCTGTAGCACAGAAAGTTCATCCAGCAACCATGAGGAGGATCATGTCAATGATGCAGTTTTCCAAACCATGGTATGTTGAGTTATGTTTGATTTGAAAAAAGACTTTGTAAGTCTACTTAGTATTTACTTTACTCATCATAATATGTCTGTCTTGCTCAGGCTGGAGATCTGATGCATAACATCCCTCCTGCTCAAGCGCTACAGGGTTTCTCCGGTGGAAGTTGCAGACAAGCTCCAGTTTGTAACACTACACTAGTGTCAAAAACGTTCTTATATTATGGGACGGAGGGAGTACGTAATAAATAAGCCTTCTTCAGTTTTGAAAGGGGAAGGATAGCTTAGTGCCCGTATCGCGAGCTGTGGCTAAGCTGAGCTGTTTGGTAAATTTGGTGCCGTGCAGATAACAGCATATTGGAAGAAGAAGATGCCAAGCCGCGCACGTCGTGGAGCCGGTCTGAAGCAGGACTCGGGTCGAAACGGGCACGACCAGGACGGACTCGTGCGCAACAGTGACTGCGTGCCTGGCCCTGGAGATTCATCTTCAGAGACAGCGAGACGGCCTGCCGTGCGGAGGTCCCTCTGGCTGGCGCTCCTGGTGATGGCCCCTCTACTTGTGCTTGTCTTGGTTGGTGTCTGGAGGTCACTGAGCTAAACTAGACGGTTCCTCCTCATCGTCATCGTTCGTTGGTAGGCTCTCTCTATATATGTTGGTGTTGTTGGTGTGATGTATATACTTCACTTGGTGTCTGTCTATGTGTGTGTTAAGTAACTTTAGGCTCTCTCTACCGTACGGACTTTGTAATGTAGCCATCCCATTGACATGACATATTGGAGAAATCGACTTACAATCTCTATTGTCTATGCAAGCAAATGAATGAATGGACGATTGAGTTATGTTAGCGCATGCATTGGGTCGTTTCTCCTAACAAGATTATGTAAGCAACCTGAACTTTTAACTTGAGCTCCAAAGAAGTTGTTGAATGATCTAGCATTTTTGGGTTTTTACTAAGCTGAAAAATGTAGCACTGTGACAATAATATTCTGGTTTCCTAACTTAAATCTTTCATTTTCTTGCCACATTTTTACAATCGTGCACTTGGATGATGGTGACATTATTTCTTATCTGAATTCTGCACGCATGTTTCCAGTTGAAACAGTAACTGAAATTGATAAGTATGCAACAGTTTCTGCCCTGCAGCATGGCTAAAATGTTGTGAGTTACTACTTCAGATAAGTAACCACCGTATTATTTTCTGCGTGTAATTGACATGTACAGATGTTGTCCCTCCGCATGAACCATCCATTACCAGTCCAAGGTTTCCATCACAACAATCTATAGGTATGCAGGTACTGTCTAATACCTACACACAAGCTTCTCTCACAGATTGACTCCTCTGATTGACGTTTGTGACTCAGCATGTGTGTGGCCGTGATGCAGACCTTATCTTGGCCTGACTTCAATTCCCTTATGTGATACGATTGGCAGCTCTTTTCTTCTAGATGTATTGGTTCCTGCAGGTTCCACTGGATCTTGCCTTTGAGTGATACGATAGCTCAATGGCATGCTCACCAGTTGTTCTTCTGTCAAAGTGGCAAACTGGCTCAACTTTATTTCCTGTGTGTATTACAGAGTACTAGATGTGATTATTTTATTTCAAGCACTGGCAATTTTCTAAGCATTATGTTTTTTAAGACGCTGAGGTCTCCGATGATTAGTTATGCTTTGTGAGGTTTATGCTTCATACAACCTAGGTAATTCTCAGTTGATCTTCTCAATTTCTAACTGAATATAGATATATATACTGACAGTAAGGCCGGTGGATTAAATAGTTGGATAATTCTTTGACATGTCGTACTCTAACGTATGTTTAAATCAGCGTTTGATACTCCCATGATCGATTACTTTTTGCATATAATAAATTAATACAATAAGAAGTGTATTGGTTCTTCAGTGTTGCAGGCAGAAAATGATTTAAATATAGACACAGCGAGCTGCATACTGCAATAACAGCCAATTGCCAGACAGGATTACATTGATCAAAGAAAGCACTGTTTGGATAGAGAAAAGGTCATGGTCAACAATTGGTGCTTGAGGAAATGGATATGTATGGTTATAAGGTTGCAGGAAGTTGTATATGACCAGAGCAAGTTGTAATTTCTCTTCCAGAATTATCTAAGCTAAGAGTTTCATTTAGCTTCATAGTTGTGCTTTATTTCCTGGGACAACACGCCCTTAATGTACATATCATTGTTTCCTTGCACATTAATTCGTAAAATATAGCAACTTCAAATTAAAATTTTAATATCTAATACATTGGTGACCCGCCTTCCAAAAATTTCTTTGTTGCTGAACTTCTGATTATAAACTGCTACATTAGATTGTGTACGAAGCGGAAAACGTCTTACCTACCTTAATCACAACTTCATCAAGTTGAGATTATGCTTGAAGTCTTCAAAACTTCTTGTAGGCAAAGGCTTTGTAAATCCATCTGCAAGTTGATCTTTGGAATGCACAAAGCGAATGTCAAGTTGCTTCTGAGCAACTCTTTCTCTGACAAAATGAAAATCTATCTCTATATGCTTTGTCCTGGCATGGAACACTGGATTTGCAGAGAGATATGTTGCACCAAGGTTGTCACACCACAAACAAGGAGCCTGCTTACTTTGTATGCCAAGTTCCTTCTGTATGGATTGAACCCATATTATCTCTATTGTGGCATTTGCAAACACCTTGTACTTGTGCTTGACCTGGATACGGTAGCATGTTTACGTGCACACCATGATATCAAATTTGGTCCAAAAAATACTGCAAAGCCACCAGTGGAGCGTCTGTCATCAAGACAACCTGCCCAGTCAGAGTCAGAAAATGCACTGACAAGAGTGAATGGTGATTTGCTGAAGTTCAGTCCCAAGCTCAAGGTATGCTTAACATATCGAACTATACGTTTTGCAGCTGTCAAATGAACATTGGTGGGTGCATGAAGAAACTGGCAGACTTTGTTGACAGCAAAGGAAATATCAGGCCTGGTAAGTGTGAGATACTGAAGAGCTCCTACCAGACTTCTGTATTTAGTGTTGTCCTCTTTATTCAAAGGCTCACCTTCTGCAAGAGATAACTTTTCTTAGCTAGATAATGGAGTAAGTGAGGGCTTACATCCCTGCAATCCAGCTTTCTTAACCAAGTTAGTTGCATATTTTTCTTGAGAGAGGAGAAGTCCATCCTTGTGTTTCTTCACCTCAATCCCAAGAAAGTAATGCAAGTCACCAAGATCCTTTAGA